AAAATGGTGGAAACACAAAGAGGTCGGAGAAAAATATTTTCCAAACGCTGGATGACAGTGACAAAATGAAATGCTACAAATGAGATTGTGCATGGGATAATATTTGTAGTCAACCTTATTAGGGATTAGCACGCATTTCCCACCCAGTGCAATGACGACTATAACGTCAGAAATTAAATGATCACAGCACTAAAGTTTGAAAAACTGGAAAAATGCAACAGTGCAGCAGTGATGACTTGAGTCTGTCTCAACCTTCCATCAGCAGAGTGATCACGCTAACAATCATAACACTTTAAGTCTTGTATTTTGATGCAGTTCATTTCATGTCCACTGGGTGTCCACACCTTGCAGGCTCACAAAAGGGCGTGTCCATGACAACCAATCACATCTATTAAGAGGGCATCATACTTAGCAACAGGGTCAACCACACCTCCTCAATAAGATAAAAGTTTCTGTCACTCCTAAGCTAGGATTCCTTACTTTTAGGCTAGACTGAGAGTGTTCTCAGGATGTTTCTGAATACAGCCCCAGGTCCATTTGTTTTGGAGACGAAGAGACCTCTGTGGATAATTCATCTCTTGGTTAAAAACCACCTGAGCAATAAACACTAAAGAAATTCTACCCAGGAGAAGTTTCAGCAGGTCGCAAACTTCAATCCTCACCACTAGATGTCACTAAACCCCTCTAAATGTTACACACTGAAATCCAGCACAGTGGAATAAAAGATTAAAGTAGCAGAAAAGTTGAGTAAAAGTACCCTAAAATTGGGCTTAAATACAACACCAAAGTAAATGTACTTAGTTACTTTCCACCACTGCTCCCAATAAGCAAAAATTACAGGACAAATGTGAACACATATGCAGCTTCTCAATGATAAATATGTCAAGAAATGAAATGAAATTATCACTACAGCCTCCTCAGGAATCTTTATTTTTGCCCAAATTCCCTTTCCATCCCTCGTTCCAGCCACTTCATAAAGCCCCTGTATCTCTCTTCAGCTTAATTGTCATTCTCCACCTGTCCACCAGATGCCCTCTGACTTTGCTCCTCCACATCACCTGACTCCCACCTCTTCCTGCTCACCTGTGTCTACTTCCTAATCACCCTGTCAGATACCAGCCCCCTTTTCTCCAGTCAGTTGTCATTTTGTTTTGTGCTCTAGTTTTCAGCCACCTGAGCCTGTAAACTTAAAGAACTATAAACCTGGATTCTCAGCTACTTTTTTGTTTAGCTACGCTGCCAGTTAAAGCATTTGTCTTTGCACTGAATAAATCATTGAACTGGATCTGGATTTTCTGCATTTGGACTCTTTGCCTGGTAAGTAAGTACATTTTTTCCATTCCATTTTTGCCTTCTACTCCACTGAACCTAAGGTGGGAGTATTGTACTTTTCTACTCCACTACATTTATCTTCAGCTTTTAGCTGCAGTTACTTATTAGATTAAGATATTACATAAGAAACATACCATGTGCTTATAAAATACAATGCAGTGTTTAAAATAAACCAGTGGCTCCCAGCCATTTTGGCTCGTATAACCTTACAGACTAATAAATTAAAATAATAAACTTTATTTATATAGCACCTTTCAAAACACAGTTACAAAGTGTTGTACAATAAAACTGAGCACATTTAAAACACAAGGAGAATAAAACAAATAACATGCCATAAGGAAGGCCAACACTAAAATCAAGATAACTAGTCAATACCCACTGAGTGCACAGTGGCCCACGTACAGTTTCACATGGTGTGTGTTATATATAGGTCATAGGAAATTGCAGATTAAATAGTCAACTGAACCCATTAAGAAGAGCAATGTCGCATTTTAGCCATTTTTCTGTTGTTATAACAAAAAAATAGATTTTTCCAGTCACCTTGAGGCGTCCTGTTCTACATATCTACCAAGTTTAGTAAAAATCCATATGGCGGTTAGGCCTAGATAAGAAATGAGCTCTCTAGCGCCCCCATTTTGTTTGATGGGGTCAATAATGGAGGGGTCCCCTCAGATTATGTGTGGTCATATGCCTACAAAGTTGCGTGGTGATGGGTGAAACCCTTGAGATGTTATACACCTTTATGTGATGAGCCACGCCCTCCGCAATATTCATTGCCTTATAGAAGCTCAGTTTTAGTAAGTTTTCCAACTTTTGCCAAGAGGGAACTTTAGATATTGGTCCCTAGATTATGTTCACCCAGTTTCATGCAGATCGCTCAAACTTCCTAGGAAGAGATCGATTTTAAGTGTTTTTCAAAAAATTCAAAATGGCGGAAAATCTATATAAGCGGAAGTTATGGGTTCTTGAGGCAAATGTGTTCCTCATGAGGAGAGGCATCTCTGTGCAAAGTTTCATGTCTCTGCGACATATGGGGCATGAGATATGCCCATTCAAAGTTTGCAATTTCAGTCGGTTGCTATAGCGCCCCCCTTTGGCCAATTGATGTAATATTGCTTCATTGGCATCCTCCCATGACCCTCTACCACTGTGCCAAATTTCACATGGATTGACCAAGTCAGTGAGGAGGAAAACGTGGAACAGACACACAGAGTTTTCCTCAATATATTTAAGATAAGATAAATGGCCATTAAAATCAATAAGATAGCAGCAAAATAGACAGACGGCTCAGATAAAGTCAGGATATGCTTTCCAATAGAAGTACGTTTTTAAGATGGATTTAAACAAAGCGAGTGACTCAGACAGCCTGATATCCTCGGGCAGGTTGTTCCAGAGCCTCAGGGCCCTGGTTGCAAAAGCCTTTGGTCTGCAGCCTGGACCCTGGAACAAGCTGAAGACTTCTGCCCGTGGATCTCAAACTACACAGAGGTTCATAAGGGACTAACAGGTCTGAAATGTAACCTGGAGCCATGAAGAGCCTTTAGAGTAGTCAATAACATTTTAAAGTCAATCCTAAAGCAAACAGGGAGCCAATGGAGAGAGGCTAACCCTAGTGTGAGGTGGTCGTGCTTCTTGGTTTTGGTTAAAAGTCTTGTGGCTGAGTGTTGAACAATCTGAAGTCGTTGGAAGGTTTTTTGATTAAGACAGATATGAGATTAGAGAAAAGTCCAAAAAATGAAAACATACTTGTGTTTTGGAAGTCGTTCCTCTCCTGGTAATCATCACATGACCCCTCAGATTTATCTTGTGACCCTTTGGAGGGGCCCGACTCTGAGGTTGGGAACCACCGGAGGGACATTTTTGTGCAGGGTGAGTCATTTTTTGGCACTATACTGCAAGTGTATTTTGCTGTTAGTATTAGTATTAAGATTATTTTTTTCCCCAATTTTTTATTTTAACAACAATAAACAAAGACATACACATACACACATCTAGTATGTGTCCAGAGTTATTTATATGGATAATATATTCTGGATACACTCCCTCTGGATAGTGACTTTTTCTCAATTGCAAGTATTCAAAGAGCTGAAAATGGAGTATTTTAGATTTTTAAGTAAGTAAGTGATGTGAATATTTTCCCCACTGCTCAGTAAACCTGCACATTTTCTCCAGCTCACTCACTTTCCTCACTGCTCAGCAAAGAAGATCCAAATGATTAAACTTTATATTAACATGATGAATAATCACAACTGGACACTGTCTGCATTAAATAGAGTTTATTTTAAATGATCTATTCCTTATACAGATTATACTGACAAATCCCTTTTGGATCAAAGTGCATTAGAAAGCGTCCCTCCAGCTGCGCTCCACTCCTCAAAATGACAACAAAAACATTCAGTGAATTACAGACAGACAGTATATGTCAGATGTTAATCTTATTGAAAATGATAACAGCGTTATCTGAGTGCATGTTAATAAAGTTAAAAGTCTAACTGTCCGCCAACGCTGCAGTCACATGTTGTGATATGTTTGGAAATTGATGGTGAACCGAGGTGAAGGTTTGGTTTCTTATCAGATCTTTGTCTCTGCAGCTTTTGGCTCGCAGCCAATAGAAACACATCTTGTGATGTGCAGTCCTGCAGCGAGGAGTTACAACAGTCAAACCGCAGAGTCTGGTCCTGAGAATTTAAAAGTGCTCGACTCGAATAAACCTGAAAAAACTAAACAGGAAGCTTCAGACAGGCAGATAAAAAGCTCTGGCAAGTGTTGGAGGTTCAGTTGGTTACAGGCCGGTTCACTTTGGTACAACAAGCTTCTCATGAGTGACAGAAATAAATATAAATCTGCTTCCAGCTTCATCACAAGAACATGCATGAACAGGACAGTGTAAATATGTTAAATTATCTTTGGAGATTTACATAGTCACATCAAATATGGACAAATAATCAATGCCTGAGAACCACAGAGGTGTTTGGTGTAGAGCTGCAACGATCGATATCTGTGGATTTTGCTTTACAGCTCAAACAAGATTTGATATGTTAGGCTTTTAGAAATTGTTGACATTTTTCACTGCTTTCTGCCATTTTATAAACCAAACTATTAATTGTTTTTATTCAGAAAATGATGACGATAATTAGTAGTTGCAGCCCTGGAGTGGTTTCAGCCTTGGTAATATTTTACAGCAGCCTTATCAAGTCACATGTTGACTTTTTATGAGCTCAGGTTGCTTCAAATGTTTCCATGCTGGAATAAATTTTTGGTCTTTTGTTTTCTGGCTGCTTCTGTGACATCTGAGGATGAATATGGACGATGGTCACTTGTTTTCATGGCCGTTTCTTTTCTCTGTGATCCTAGAAATTAACACAAAACACATAAAAGATTATAATTATCTGAACCATAGCAGCTCATTTTCAGTTTAGTTAATACACGATTTTTTTTTTGTTATTTAAGTTTTCTATTTTAAGAACATCAACACAAAAAAATACAAACACATCTAGTAAACAGACCCTGAACTCAGTTTTTCAAGAGTAACAACAGTGACAAACATACTCAAACAAACTCATTACTGCCATTAAAAAAGCTCACATTATGACAGTCATGACTCATCTTAGAAAAAGTTATAACAGATCAGTTTTCACAGCTTTTAATTATGAGTAATGACCGAAGTTTCAGGCATCCGTCTGCTGTTTGTCAGAGTGGTAAAATGTCACCTGCTGTGTGTTGCCTCATAGTAGCTGTTCTCCTCCAGCAGCTCCTCTATGATCCCCTGAAAATACACATTTGCACAGGAAATGACATGAAGCGGAAATTTAAGATTTTTGTCTCAAAATGAGACACTAGATCCAGCAGGACACCACAACGCTTCTAAAGTGTTGATAGTTGTTGTCTAAAGTTGTTGGAATATATCAGATGACTCTGTCTTCATCAGCTGGAGGTGAAGGGGATGGTGGATGGCGTGTCACCAGTGAGACACCTGCCAAGCTGCAGAGCACTGCTAGAGACAAACGAACTACAAAACTAGTTGTTTTTTAGGAAGTCAGGAAACACACAAGAGAAACTGACCTGCATCTGCTGATAGGTGACTCCATCTTTGAGATTCCCATCACCTGTCAGAAGCAAAGAGAAAATCAATTCATTAGTTCATCCAGCTGTGAATGTGAAACATTTGTGGTCAGAAGGAACAAAAATGTACCAGATTACATCAATAATTTCCTTTGAGTTTGTGGAAGAGGAGATCTGCCAAAGTCTGCAGTATTTTGTGTCTGATGTCTTTCACTGGAGGTACAGTATCAGGTGAAGCTGTAGGAATGGTAACTCTTACCTGTGCTGTCAGGCTCCTCTGTGAAATGGTGGACCAGGGGCCACCAGTCAGAACTAGCTGAGTCTAACTCCATCAGGTCTGGAGAGACCTGGAGGAGCTGCAGGGAAACAGGAAGGAGACTTTCATTTTGCTTGAGGTGGCTGCAACACGCCCAGTATCCCCCAGTATCTCAAAATAATGTGACAGAATTGGGATCTTATATTAAATCTCACCATTAATACAGCCAAAAGAGGAAAAAAAGTTTAATTGTTAGATTGTGAACCTCAGTTTAAACATTATTACCCTTGGTTCTTAGTTCACTGAAAGAAAAATAACACAGTTAACCAAAGGAAACCACAACCTTGCACAATTTGCATTTATATTTTCTTTAGGTACTTCCATCCTGTTTGCATTTTATTTATTAAGATATTCACCCTCTACTGGGCTGTCATATTTTACCTTCTGTGCTGTTTATAATTTATACTTTCCATTATTCTTCATTTAATACAGTCTGTACTGTTTACTATTAGGCACCTTAACCATTTGAAACCTGGAGCAAGATCACTTTTCTTGTGCTGCTTTCAACTTGGTAAGAAATTAATATATTTAGAAAAATATTTTTTTTTTTGAAAATAGGGGAAAAAGGAAAAAAGCAAAGGAAAAAGGAAAAATATTATTAATTATTATTAAATTATGTTACAGAATTATTATCATTTTTAAGCACTTTTTCCAGGTCATTTCCTTGTTTGTTTGTTTGTTTTTAACTTCGGGTTTTTTTTTTTAACAAATTTTCTTGTTTTTAATTTTCTTTTTTGGCATCATTTCTTCTTTCGTTGGTCACTGCCTTCTTCCCATGTTTTTGAAAGAAATCAAGCCAGTTTGCTGTCAGGTTTCAAAGGGTTAAACAAAACAAAAATCTGTATAAGTACATATACTTGTCTTGATTTGCTTTCATGTCATTGGTAGCAAAGTATTCATTACTTTTGCCCTGCTCTTACACTTTGATTTGATCACCTTACATTACAATACCTGCACTGTCAATCATAAATTTGCACTACCATCATAAGCATATCTGCTGTAGTAACAATTCTCTGTAGTCGTCCTGCTGTGTGGTTTCATTCTCATGTTTCTATTCTTTTTACCTATTTTCTGTATTGTTATGTCAATCTGTGTTTCTGTATGTATTGTGTTGCGTAAGCTACTTAATTTCCCTCAGGATTAATAGAGTATCTATGTATCTGTAGTTCCTGTACATTTTCAAGCTTTTCTTTTTCTTATGTGACAATATAATTTTGGGTTTTGAGAACTGTAAGTCGATTGTACAAACCTTACTGAGCTCCACTTTCAGGTTGTACGGATCACTCCCAAAGTGGAATAAAGACTTTTTAAATCTTTCAATGATCCGTCGTTTGATGTTGTGGTGCGGAGCAGGTGGAAGCTGGTGATGGAAAGAGTACAATCAGTGTCATCAGTTACAAATCAGTCCTCATTCAGTTTTATGTGAAGATGAAACACAGCCTGTTTGCAGGTTGATGGTCGTATGGTTTTAAGTTTTTAATGGATTTGTAACAATGAATGAGCCAAACAGACATGAATGATTCTTTACACATGATTGAACCTTTTAAAATGTTATAAAAGCGGAACTTCTACATTTGAACTAATGAGATGTGTGTGCAGTGTTAAACTGAACCTTGAAAATCTATAAAACAGTTGTATTAATGTACCTGAGTGATGTAAATAATTTTGTGCAGCTGCACCAGGAGCCTCTGAATGGGATCATCAATCTGCCGAACCTTCTTCTGGGAGACGCAAATCCCCGCTGACACTGAGGTGAGAGCAAACACCAAATACACACACTCAGTGAGGCTAAATAAACTCGACACACACATTTATAAGATCGTTTTAGAAACGTCTGCTCTTCGGGTTGTTTTGTGTTCAGGCTGAAAAGGTACCTGGTCGTGGTTTAATCTTTGCAGCAGCAAAATCCCCACTGAGGAGAGAGGAAGATTGAAAAGGCAGGTTATTAAACTGTGTCGGATGTGAACAAACTGTTTTTGGCTGGGTGTTTATGCATCAACAAACATCAGCTTTACAGATAACTGCTTCTCTTACAGTATTAAATGATTACTGTGCCTCATATATACATTATATACAATATACACATTATATACAATATATACGTCACACTGACCACACAGAAGTTAGTTATGTGCAGACACCAGAAGAAAATGTTGGCATTGTTTCTGCAAACCACGGATTAGTTGCATTTGTATGTTTCACACATGTCACATCAACGTAACTTGTTGGTCATTCCTCAACCCTGACCTTCCCCATCCCTCATGGGTCTTTCTCTAAGTTCTACTATACATGTATAAAGTTTCTCAGAGTGAAAATGAATACAAAATACGAATACAAATTCATATTTCTAGTTAAGTTGAGCGCCTCCTTCTCTAACCTCAAGCATGATGTAACCTGCCCCCTTCATCCGGGCAACAGCTCAAGTCCTCTATTAAAGAGTATTTCCACTGCTGAATAGAAAGACTGTGCATGCTGATAGCAATAGCTGCCTTTGAGTGTGATTAAAGTTCTGCCCTGATCATCATTAAGCAGCATACATGCTGGAGAGCAGTCAATCTTAACACCCAAAATGTCAGATAGACATTTTCTTATTTGTTCCCAGAAACTTTTACTTGATGGACAGTCCCACATGACATGTAAAAAAAAGTCCCTGATTGATTCAAATCACACAAAGTGCAGTTTGGAGAGGTCAATATACTCATCATGTAATGCTGCGTTGGTGCCAAATAAGTTTGAAATATAAAATTCAGGTTCGTTAATTTGTGATTTAAGTTTTGTGAGGAACAGGAAACCTTCTCCCAAACTCTGACCCAGTCTATCAATTGCGTGTGCTCTAACAAAGTATTATAAATGAAAGCAACATAGCTAATCCAGATAGTTTCCTAATTAAGCTCATTATTCAATGAGCAACAACTTGTCTGTCACTCAAGATATTTGCAGCCTGTGTAGCAGAGCGTAATTGTAGATATAGAAGAAAGGAGTTGGATGACAATTTGTATGTTTCCTTCAGATCCCGAAAGCTTCTTAAATCAATGTCATTTATAATGTCTCCTAAGCAATATCGTCGTCTCTAAAGTGACAAAGTATGAGGAGATGGTGGATGGTGTGACGCCTGGACGAGATGGCTGCCAAGCTGCAGACCACTGTTCCTGAGCAACAAACAACAAAATCGGTTGTTTACTAGTGATTCATCGCTGCGTCTTCTAATGACTTTTTAGCCACTAATGTGGTTTTTTTTTTTGCGACGCGTTGCAGTGTTTTCAGCAGGGAAAAATTTCCTAATTTCCTATTCAGAATCAAGTGGTTTTGTGCCTAAACCTAAGCGCACATTAACCACAGCGTTGTTGAAACTTTCAGTCTCAATGTATCCGCATTCACTGATTTGACTGTAAAAAATTAGGGCAATAATTTGAATGTGTCTTTCTAAGTAGTTCCAACTCTGGCATTGTTGAGTAAATCTTATGAGTCTTTTATAATCTGACAAGCTCAATTAATTTAGTACAACCAACATGATTTGCTTTGATCTGAAAAAGCTTAATTAAGTTGAACCAACTTGATATTTATCCAAAAGTTGTGGTGATATATAATGGTCAAATTATTTTATTTAAGATATTCTAACTTATTTATTTTAATTCCATCCTACTTAAATATGGTACATTTTTATCTTTGTTATTTTGACCAACTTCTTAAAAAAGGTTTTCAACTGACTAAAACACTTTAATGTTACAAACATAATTTTTTATGCTGGATAACTTCTTTATTTAGATTTTTTTATCCACTTACCCCATGAATGATTGTATATAGTGCACCACATGCATGTCACGTGCAAATGTAACATATCTGTGGTTTGCAGAAACCTACAATGCAAATATTTATTCTGGTGATTTGGTTAAAATGTGAGATTTGTCACTTACCCAGACTGAATTTGGTCCAGTGTAATACAGGTGCTGGGCTTAAATCCTTTTAACAAAACAAAACAAGCCAAAAGATCAAATCAAACAGTGAATCAGTCTGAAAAAATTAAACAATTGCAGCTTCTAGCTTCAAAAGACAAGCCTAGTTACTGCAAGACTGCAGGTCCACGTCCCAGACTGCCTGCTCTTGTTTGCAACAAACTAGTGTTGCACGGTATACCGGTACTAAAATAGTACCACAGTACTAGAGTATTCCAAACAGTACTATACTGCATTTGGAAAATACCGGTACTTTGAAATTGATACAATTCATTAATTTAGTTAATTTATTTTACTCATTTATGCACACAAACGCCTTTCTTGTTCCTATTGGAGCACATTCAACATTCGCAGCTGGCGCACGTGAAAAAAGACAAGAGAAAGTCTGAATCGCAAAGGGAGACAACACGAGACAACACAACTTGGTGGAACATTTGAGTTACCAAACCGTGACGTCCGTACCGAGGTACTTACCGAACCATGATTTTTTTGGTACCATTAAACCCCTACTATTTATTGTTCTAAAGGTTTGTATCTAAAAGGACTTTTCCTTAGGAAAAGTACCGAAGAGTATCGAAAAGTATCAAAATTCATATTAGTATTGGTACCGAAACAAAGATTTTGGTATCGTGAAAACACTACAACAAACAGGTTGTTGTATTTATCATAGAAAACCAGCATCTTGTTGTATGAACATTAATACATACAAAAAAAAAGCCTTTGAATCCTATTGAATATAGCAGAACTGACCGTAGTGTTTTACTGTAGAGGCAGTGATGTCGACTTTGGTATTGCATGGCTCAGCATCACCATCTGACGCATTATCTAAAAGCACACACAGTTACATATTTACATGTTGTTTTTTATTCATCTTTCCCAGTCTATTTAACTTAACAGTATGAAACTGAGTCACCTTGACTGATGCTGTGTTAGCTGTGGTTTGAACTGCAGGCTGCAAAAGAGCGTGGAGTCGGACACTCAGTATTCATGAAGGGGTTTTCCTGCAAAAAGCGCAGCATGTGTTTTAAAGATCCTGCAGGAAATACTAAAAATATTTTCAACTTTTATATCAAATCACAAATTTGCAAGTAATTATTAAATAAATCTAATCTCAATAGTCCTGAAAGACGCCCTTTTGATTTTAGAAGTCCTGTTTACCTGAGACAGGTTTGAGCGACAGCAGTCCATCCTGCATTTGTGCCTCTCCAGGAAGTACTTCTGCGCTCGCTTCCTGTCTCTCTCTGCTCTCCTTTCCAGTGCATTCTGGGAAGTGTAGAGGCCGTCCATCAGCCTCATCATGAGGTCAGAGATCCTGGTGCTGACGGCCACAATGTCCGGCCGCTGGTCTGCATCTGGACTCAAACACCTGACAGGATGTTCCATAACAGAACAGAGTACTGTGTGAATACGCTGAGTGACTCAAATATGAAATTACTTTTAATCTATAGCAATAAAGACACAAAAATAATACAATGGCAATTTAACATGGAGATCTATTGACTCGCTTTTGGAGGTAGCCTCAAGTGGTCATTAGAGGAACTGCAGTTTTTGGCACTTAGGCGTTGGCTTCTTTTTTCAGCTCTGAAGGTTGCCACTTTATCAATATCCATATTTCAAAATTAAAGTCTCACCATCTGATCATGTCTGTGACTCTGTCTGAGTAAGCTCCTTCTTCAGTCGGCTCGTACGCGGCCTCGACAATCTACCGGAACAGAATAAGAAGCAAAGAACAATCAGACGACAGAGAGGAAAGCATTTTAAATGTGTGTGTGTGTGTGTGTGTGTGTGTGTGTGTGTGTGTGTTATATATAACCTTGCTGGCCAGTGACAGCATGTTACTGCTGTAGAACGGAGGCTGTAAAGTGGCCATCTGGTAGAGGATGCAGCCCAAAGCCCAGACGTCAGCTTTCTCTCCATACGGCTCATTTTTCACCACCTCTGGACTGACACACACACACACACACACACGTTTGCATGTGTTACCTTATAAGCGACCCTTACAACGCATTCCCAAATACCAAACCCTACTTTACCTAAACTTGATCTTAACCAATCCCACAAACAGATTTTTATCGAAGTTGGAGGCCAGAAAATGTATTCACTCTTGTGGTCTACAACTGAAATTGATCCTTACAAGCATATAAGAAAAACACACACACACACACACACACACACACACATATATGCAGAGCTGTTGTCAAGACCATTAACACACCTGAGCTGCAGTATATTTGCAGTTTCTCTAAGTTGCGTCTCTAATGGGCCGTAAAAACATCAGCTCTGCCACACACACTGCCACACTGTAAAGGGAGGTTTCACCCAAAACACATTTTCTCACCTTCTTCTGGTGTTATCTCACCATGCAGACAGTTTTATTTGCAGAGATGTCTGCCCCCCTTCACGATGAAAAAAGTTACCTCTAAAAACAATCATTGTTAATCTGGTTGATCCACAGACTTTAAACATGAGCAGATGTTAAAACCGACCGTTTAATCTAAAAGCAGTTGGATGCTCAGAATGAATTTCCTCACCAGGAGTAAAGGATGGTGCCGACCACTGACGTCAGCTTGCTGTTCTCCTGTTTCTGCTTTGCAAGGCCGAAGTCGGCTTCAGACAGAAGAAACACGCAGGTTAAACATTTATAATGAGAGAAGACGTGGAGGAGAGTAATGGACTGCTGACACTCACTGATGGTGACTTTGTCCTTTTCCCCCAGCATGATGTTATTTGGTGTGAGGTCACGGTGGACTATTCTCTTCTCCTTGTGCAGGTACCTCAGTGCCAGACACATCTGAGGAGACAAATTTATCAATCAGTAAATAAGCTATTAAAATGACTTTAGAGATGCAGAGATATTTCCATTCAGATAAAACACCTCTCCGTTGCCAGTGGAAATTATTTACATTCATATTTCAGGCTTTTATCCAAAAGCTGTTGGCAAGGAGCACAGAAATAGACCAGGCTGAAATTCCTCAGCTGCTGGAGAATCAAAAATATTATCTTTTGTAATGCGGAGAATGTGCTGGAAACAGTCTTTTACTACAGAGGTCCCTGACTATATCTGTCTGATGTACCCCCACATTAGTCTGATGAATTCAAATACCCCTTCATCAACACAAATGTCCCTGATACATAAATTTGAATGAATATTAAACTAGGTTTTATTTAAAGGTGCAGTCAGCTGCTAATGCTATGTACCGGGACACTGCTAATGCTGCTTGCCGTGCTGCTGTAGCTCAGTCGTAACTGTAACTGATGCTGAGACTCTGCTGACTGCGTGACTGGTAGACGGCGGTGGGTGGCGCAACAGGCCAAAACACAAATTCAAAACATAAACATGATTTGCAGACCGTAAAAATGTTTTTTAGATGCAAATATTCTGGCTGTACTATTGTTGTCGGTGAGATCAGTATGTTATGTGAACATTATTCCTTAGTCTCTGTGACATATTAGGATGTTTTTACGACTATTTGCTTTAGATTTCTTACATATAGCTCCTTTAAAGAGTTGTTACCTGTATGAATACATTCCAAATCCTGTCTTCTGTGAACTTCTGCTGCTTCTCCTTCAGTGAGTTGAAATGCTCCGCCAGCGGCACGCCCTCGATCAGCTCCATCACGATGTACAGCTTGTCACCTAAAACAAACGGTATGATTATTTAATTTCTGGTGTGTTTCCTTCTTACAATAGCTGGGGGCTTAAAGCGGGCAGAAAGAAATCATCCTCACCTTCCAAAAATGCCTTGTAATATTTCACGACGTTTGGGTGCGTCATCTAAAGAAGAAGAGCCAAGAATAAACAACGTAACATGGCAGTATTTGTTCAGATAGTTATTAAACTCTGAATGATGAAAAGTGAAACTTTGTGCCTGTTCTTTGATGATGGTGAGCTCAGAGATGATTTTCTCCACGTTACTGTCTCTGGACTTCTTGTCTTTGCCAAACACCGGGTTGTGGAGGTTCACTTCCTTCAGAGCCAGGAGGTTCTGGCCGCTCTGCTTTCGGACCTGTCATTGGGTATATATATTGGAAACAGTGATTCATGATGTGAATAGAGATGTTCTGATACCTTTTTTCCTTCCCGATATCAATTCCATTACCTGAACTTGTCTATCAGCCAATACAGAGTTTGAATCTGATACCATTGCGTTAAAAAATAGATAACAGCTGTATACTACTGGGGTTCAAACCCCAGGGTGGGGGAGCCCCTCTGTGCAGAGTTTGCATGTTCTCCATGTCAGCGTGGGTTTTCTCAGGGTACTCCAGCTTCCTCCCACAGTCCAAAGACATGCAGGTTCATCGATGACCCCCTATTGGTCATGGGTCTGAATGTGAACATGATTGCTTGTCTGTCTCTATGTGTCAGCCCTGTGATAGTCTGGTGACCTGTCCAGGGTGTACCCCGCCTCTCACCCAGTGTCAGCTGCGATAGGTTGCATAAAATTCGTGTCCACCCTACCCCCCCGAGTCACTTGTTGGTGTATGCCCACTATACACAACCAATTTGCCGACATTCGCATCTGCCCTGCCCCACTGGTCACTTTGTGGACACAGCTTGATTGGCTGTCTTGATGCAAGCACCATTTAAATATGTCGAATTGTCACGCCCTCTCGTCGCACCGCCAGCATGGTCTGCATCACTGGTATCCCAGCATGCTTTGTGCAGAGGATCAGTCCCTTCCAATTCATAATGAATGGGAGCAAATATCTGGTCGGGTAAAGTGGGCATGCACTGTAAAGCCCTGATCACACAGGAAGTGTTTCGCTGGTGGCAAAATGTGAGGCACACCACACTTCCCTTTTTTAAATTGAATTCCAAAAGTAAAAAAAACAAACACTTGCTGCACCTTTTTACAACTCCATTATGTTCTTACCCTAACCTTCCCATGTTGTGTACCATCTACCATTTTTTTTTTCTCAGTAATTAGTAGCTAGTTCCTGACATGTTGAGGCAGAGGGTACTTGCTGTAGCTCTGGCTGAGGGTGAGAGGCTGTCAGCAGATAAACAGAGATCTGTGTGGGTAGATGAGACCCTAAAAAAGAGGGTGGATCATGGGGAGTACCACCAGTTGGTCCAGGAGCTTCGCTTCGATGATGGCCGTTTCCAGGCATATTTTAGGATGACTTGGGGGCAGTTTGACAACCTGCTGTCTATCATCAGGCCGTATAGCTCTGGGTATCCAGCAACCGCTACCACCAGTTTCTCCTCCACTGTTTACCAACGGTAAACTTTTTGTTGTGACCACCACAGAAGGACTGCCTCTCAACTCATCCGATTGAACAATGGGAAAAATGATGACGAAAAAGGAGATGATGTGGGGCGCTTTTTAGCTCTAAGTTTAAGTTTTTTCAGCTTGTGGAGTTCAGAGCACTTAAGCAAAAATGCCAGGCACCTAGAGCGCAGAAATGTGAGGCGCGTAGTGACACAAAAACCACGAGCAAAAAGCTTCATTCTCATTTAAAACAATTACAAAAAGCTGCCTCCATCTGCTAAAATGCTTTCTGCGTGATCCGGGCCTATAGCAGTATTTGTCCGAGGTTGCACGGCACAACTTGCTGCTGTTTTAGAGCAGCAAAATAGAAGAATTGATTCCCAGGAAAACTTTTTTATCTGGGTGTGAAACTACTTTAAAGTTTATTAATAAATTATGTGGGATCAGATCAGTGATAGACTTGTGTATTCGCTGATACCCGACCAGGCAGTTTAGTCAGTATCAGAGGCATTTCCGATACTGGTCTAGATGTCAATCACCTGACACTGTTTTGATGTTCGTACCTTAAAGACACTTCCAAACGCCCCAGTGCCCAGATGGTCCAGTATGGAGTAACCGTTGATGACTTTAAGTGGGGGTCGGTTCTGGTCCACAGTCTCAATGCTCTCTCTCAGACTGTCCAGTTCCTCTTCCTGCATTACAAAACACACATCACTCGTTCCATTCCTGAGGTAAGGAATCCTTCTTGTCAGTCTACATTTCGTTCCATAACACAGTAATATTTCTTTTTATTTTACTGCCAAAAAGCAGCTGAATAAACAGCTGAATCCATTTAGAAGCTGTTCTCTTACAGTGTAGAGTGAAACTTTGGTCTGCAGTCCCTCGTAGGCCGTGAGGTCCCGAACATAATGTCCAACATCAATAAACAACTCAAAGAGGTCGGTGGGAAAGAGTCTGAAATGGATAAGAGATTACGTAACAGCAGTGGAGAATAATTTGAAGAGATTTTTTTCCAACAGTAGCCAGATTTAAAAGATTTATGCATGACATGAACTTAAGGTTGTGTACAGAATATTTCCTTTCTAAAATAAATATCACCTCTTAAATAGATGCCTGTTTCTTTCCATGCTGAAGAGAAAGCGGAGGGTTCTAAACGCATAGCACTGCAAATATGCAAAGAAATGTGTTACTTTCAGGTCGTTACATTTACATTATAGTGTAATTGAATACATGCATGAAGTCATATACCTGTAAAGATATGACCTTTGGTCCAGAGTTTTGTGGTAAAATCAGTTTGGCTATTACATAGACCCCATTTTCCTGAGAAAAGTATGATGGCATTAATTGACATGGTATTTAAAATGTAGTAATTTGATGTAATTATGGGCTTATTCATTCCCATGTTCTCAACTGCCCTGCTCATCATGTGAGGAAGTTTCCTTACCTGCACAATGTGGTGAGCAGATGTGTCATCCAGACTAAGCTCAGTCAGAACTGTACAGCAGGCTGGAAAACGGATTAAAGGAAATATGACTTAATTTAAGAACTCATACACGCAATCTTATAGTCTCAGACAGTCCAGTGAACAGCTGTGGACATTAATAACTCTCTCCCCAAACCGAAGGAAGAACAAAGTCTGGAAACACTGACGCCTTCAGACTGTAAAGTTCAAAGTTTCTCTGCCGTCTCCTATTAGGACAGATGTAACAAAATGTTTATGTTTTTGACCCAGATTAGTTTTATTATACAGTTTCTTTTTACAGAGACAGAAAATTTACAGCTATTTCCTCCCAAATCAGAGATACAGTAAGCCAAGTCTCAGTGGTCTGGATTCTCACTTCAGGAAAAAGCTGTTTACATTCTGAGCAGCTGATAAGACTCCATTGCCAGGAAGAATTTGTTGTGCACGCTGGCCTTTTTCACCATCTCGCATAGTTCACAAAATTACACTGGGTGGTTTCTAGCTCTAAACAAACACTAAAGAAAAATGCAGTACTTTCTGTGCAGTATGTGGTGAGTTGTACAGTCCCTGACCTGACTGCAGGGCCATAGTGTTGTCCACCTCCTCCTGCGGGCTGAGCTCCTCTCTCATGTGCTCTCTCTGGATGCGGCCGGCTGCGTTGGCGCTGGAGAGCGTCTCGATGGATGAGCGGTCAGAGACATACTGCCTGTTGCTGGAGAAGATATTTTGTACGTCACCATACTGTATGATATGAATACACATTACAATGAATCAGCTACAAACCCGACCACATGGACGAGCAAGACCATATCATATATCTGCATCCATATTAAACACTGTGATCCTGATCGCGTGGATCTTTCTGCCGTACTAGCATCCTGCTAACCATTGTACAAGCGTTGGATATAAACTGGACGACCCACATGCTGCACCAGTTTCCAGTGTGATAGCACTAACTGTGATATCATTTGCTTTGCCAAAACTTGGCTAAATCCTGGATAGCACCGTTGAATCAGGTGACTCTTTTTCTATCTGCCAATCTGACAGAGCAGAGGACTCTAGCAAGGAGTGTGCTTTATGGTGAATGAGGATTGGTGTGACAGTGGGAATGTGAGGTGCTGTCCGGTTCCTGCTCACCCTGAACCACAGGGGGAATAAACACACTGGATCCCTGCTATGCAGCATTCAGCGGTGGCTGCAAAGTGGTGCTTGGGAGGAGCGTCTTCGCAACCATCCTGTTTAGGTCAAGATTGTCAAGGAAGTGTATTTTGAAAGGACACTGAGTTTTGCCAGGTATGTGCATTTTACAACAATCAGTACCGTAATTTGGCAGCTGAGAAATAGGTTGGTGTTCAAGTGCATGGCATGTTGTGTCTGCACTTGCAGAAAATAAAGTTGGCACATAACAAAGACTGAACTGGAGCATGTTCCAGGACACATCAATGAAATCACTGAGTCTGTGGTGAATTTAATTTGTAAAACAACAGAAGTGCTCAAAACTACAGTAAAATCGTACCACAACACAAACCATGGATTACCAGAACAATCTGGAAACATGGACAATTATTAAGTGTAAGAAAAGACCAACAAGGACTAAATTACAGCGCACAAGTTGGAGGAGCTGACAAAATCACATTTCACTGAAGTTTTACCTTGTAACACTTCATGTAACAAATAAATGACTGATTAACTGATTTATAAAGGCACTTCTTTGTCCTTTTTACCTGAAAATGAAGCTTTTTAACTAAAATGTCTTGTCATACTTGTTACTATTGTAATTGCATCCTTTATCACTGGCTGTTTAACTATGGAAGGTAAATCTGCAAGTGTTGATGGCCAGAAATCACAGAACCCAGTCGTCAACATCCTGCAGATGCATCATGGTAAATTTAATGGTACGGGGTGGTAGAAATCTGAAGTTTTTCCCCTTACAAGTCCTCTGAGGTACTGCAGAAATTTAGTGCTGCACTTCCACAAAGTTAGAGGACTCATATGAGACAGATTTTAAAAGAAGAATGGTCAAAATTGAAACGCAGAGGCTCCACAATCACCAGATCCCTAAATTCCCTTGATGCACAACAGCATATTTTTGTTAGATCTTCCCTGCCTGTTAAGATCGGATGTCTTTCAAAATCCATGCCCCAGTCTGTAATGCAGGCTTTCTGCTTAAATTTGAAGACTAAGCTGAGATTACTTTTGAATCTAATAAGAGATGCTATCAGATTTCATTGCGGGAAATGTGCGATCCAAAGTTTTTGGAGCTTGACTCATACTAGAGACTAAAAGTCAGCATATCTTGGCCTTTGTTGGTCTGATTTTGAGCATTCCTCTGTTAATTCATCTTTGTGAGTCTCCAAACTTTATGGAGGTACAAAACTAAATTCCTGGAGTGAGCCTTTGAAACCACAAATCACTTCAGTGTGGACAGAAAATTATCTGCTGTAGTTCTGACCACTGTTTTATCAGGAAAAGAGAAGCACAGATGGGTGACAAAAGTAAATGTTTTGTTGAAACACATTGTGAGGCAGTGAATAATGATACTGTGATAATATAAACATTAAATATGCTATTATTGCTCAGTCTCACAGACCTGTTTAGCAGCCGGAGAAGTTGCTGCACCCCGCCCCAGCTCCTGATCTCCGTCCTGGTGTCGGGATCCTCGCAGAGCTGGACCAGGACCCAGGCGACGCTCCACAGCAGCTTCAGGTGCTGGCCGTACAGCAGGCTGAGCAGCACTGGCAGACCCTCCAGCTCCCGCACCTGGTCCCTCACCCGCCTCACCGGGGACAGGAGCCTCAGCAGCTCCGCACTCATCCTGGGGGAAACATCAGGGTCAGTCCAGCCTCATTTGTTTCCATGTTTTTATGTTGTTTATTTAAATTCAGTCCCTGCAGCTTCAACAGCAATGTCTCTATTTACTCTCAGGTAAGACAACATGAGAAGAGATAAGCTATTTTTTTTGTATTTTATCAGCACTGATGAACGAAGGAAGGTTACCCTAGTTTAGACACAATATTTCATCTGATAGTGATGAACACATCAACAAATAAGGGCTATCTAACCTCTTCGACAGCAGGTCGTACTCCTGCAGGATTACAAGCAGGTTCTCCACTATGGGTAACTCTCCAATCTCCTCCTTGCATTCTGGGCTGCAGAAATAAAACGGCTTGAGGCAGATGAAATCATAAATGTATTTAATGCATTAAATGAAGTATCTGTTTACCTGTCAGCCAAAGTGGTGAGTGCCAGCAGGGCTCCCAGCAGCACGCTGCTATCTGTCGTGGAAAGGAGCTTCACCAGCGTCTAGAGACGGTTTAGTTCATTAGAGACTTAAATCTTCTTCTATAAAGCAATAAAATGTAGTAGAATTTGAGATGATAAAGAGCAGAGACACTCACTGACTGTCATGCTACAAGAACAGCATGACTTAATATGGTCATATATCTCACAAAGAGAGTGTGTTAGATTGGCGATCACTCTGCATGAGGGTTCATTTGACAGCTTGGTGTAAATATTTGCACCCTGGAAGCAGCACTGTTCACTACCACTATCAAAACCAAGTACTGGACAGGGAACACAGCTATACAGACAATTTTGTTATTCTTAGTTTAACCATAGAGCTTAAAATGTAAAGTTTTACATGTGGTTGACACAACAAGAGAAGCTCTGGTAGTAACATCTAAAATCCTCTGCCATTTAGATTACTTAATATCTTGTAGGCAAATGTCACATGTCAGCGCACTGGTGGTCACAAATACGAGAGGTCATGGTGTGTCTAAAATGGAAAAGGTTCGACCTCTGAGGAGCAGGAACCATTGAGGAGGTACATATGCAATGCAATATAATAAATAAACAGTGAAAATGAAATAATATTCTCGATTTGAAATTAAAAAAATCTATATTATGATGTAAGCAAAATAAAATCAAAAATATATTTTACGTCCCTGTTGTGGGTCTAAACTCCAGTTCACCAACAGGAGCAGCTTCCTCCTACAACAATAAGTTTATCTCAGACATGAATATGATTCGAAAACAAACAGCCCATCATCACAGATAACTTTATCTCACTCACCCTGTGAGCGCCACTCTCGATGACCCAGACCTTTTGATCTCCAACAGCAGACAGCTTCTGAAACATGTCTGCAGAGAAATCAGCAGAGGGAGCACTGATGAGGACGCACACAAGACTCACATTATCAGTGTCGTCTTCACACTACCTTCAGATTACTCACAGGTCATTGTGACCAGCTTCTGCACAGCGAGCGCCTGTTCGCCACAAGATATGTACATGGCAGTGACATGCTCCATATACTGGAAGACAAAGAGAGCAGCAGTGAGGATGGCATGAGATATGTGTGAGGATAAATCACAAAACACAGCTTGTTTAGGCGTGTGAGAAAAATATTAGAGAGCATTTACCCTGGCGAGTGAATTGATGCCTTGGAGCTGGTGGAGGATTTTCTAAAAGAAAGCAGTTGAGAGACATTTTTATTGTATTCATACAACACATAATAAACACTAAAAATGTAAATTTTCCAAGCTGTACCTGATGGTGGGGATCTCTCATCAATAATCGCAGGCAGATCAAAACTCTGACAACCGACTCAGGCTGTGCAGAGTCGATCCATTCACTACAGAAGGATTAAACATTGCCAGTAAACCTTGTGCGAGACATGAGAAGAAATTCAGGAGCATTGAAAAGATATTTTACCTGCAGAGTCGGTTCTTAACCAAAGACACAAGGATGTCAGAGAAGAGTTTGTGCAGTGGGTGGCTGCTGAAACATCTTTGGTCTCTGTAGGTGATGCTGAAAAATTAACGTTTAAGTAAATCCAAAACGGTAGCTATACACTGTTTTTGATTTTTAAAAGACAAGTTAGTTAATTCAATCATTCATTTTTCTGTAACCGCTTCTCCTGTTAGGGCAGATGTTCTTGTGTGCTCCAGCGAGGGGGTCCACATTTTTCCTTAGTCATTAGTTCAAGGTCCACAAAATTTAATATATTCAGTGTCATACTTAAGTTTGGACATGTTGCTTAGCTAGTTTGCGGCCTCTGTTGGGTAGCTGTTTGTCATTTACTCACTTTACAGCAGCATCAGGCACTTCAAAATAAAAGTTCTGCGCCAGAAATCCATTGTACTTCAAAATAAAGTGTGTTTTTTACAACCTAGACACATTCACAAGTCACTTGCGCTCCATACAGAATGGAGTTCGGGGTCACGGGGGGCTGGAGCCTATCCCAGCTGACACAGGGTGAGAGGCAGGGTTCACCCTGGACAGGTCACCAGACTATCACAGGGCTGACACATAGAGACAGACAACCATTCACACTCACATTCACACCTACGGACAATTTAGAGTCACCAGTTAACCTGCATGTCTTTGGACTGTGGGAGGAAGCTGGAGCACCTGGAGAAACCCACGCTGACACAGGGAGAACATGCAAACTCTGCACAGAAGGTCTCCCCCACCTCAGGTTTGAACCAGGAACCCTCTTGCTGTGCACACTACTGTGCATCTTATGGTAAACAAATGTTTATCCTCCATAACCATTAAGCAGTGGTGCATCTTTCTATAGGCCTTTTCGGTTGAGGGTGGCTCTATATTAGGTCTGGTACTGCTGTTGGGTGTGACAGGGTCCTCCGAACAACTTCAAAATGCGTAAAGATCCATAATTTATCTCAAACAACTTGTACCATACAACACAGGTTGCATGATGGAAATCAGTATTTTTCAGGGCTGGAAATCAGACCGAAGAAACCAAAGAAAGCTGGCTTCCAGAGTCTGTCCAGATTCATAATTGTGTTCGCTTATTCTCTGACCACATAGTTCCTGATTTAAATCAAGGAGCCTTTAAAGAAGGAAAGGTCATGGCAACGGTGGCAGCATTCGAGGAGCACACCCGTTTACGCCTCACTCGGTTTAGCTGCCAGGGAGCCTCATGTGTTTCCATTACGGCACTGTCGAGAACCCAGACTTTGGTGTCAGTTCTATTGCAGTCGATAGAGCAGCATGGCAGATCACACTTAAATCCATCATATCTTTATGTCACACCTTAAACTGATAAATCCCTCCAGTAGATTAGAAAACACACATTACGTGATGCTCACTGACTTTTTTTTTTTAATCTAATGTAATGTGTGTTTTTTAATCTGATGGAAGATTTTTTCAGTCAAAATTGAAACAACAAAGATATGATGGGTTAAAGTGTGCTCTGCAGTGCCCACCCTACTGCCTCCAATAGAGGTGATACCAATGTCTGGCTCCTTGAGTGCTGTCTCTGACGTCATGACCTTTCCTTCTTTAAAGGTTCTTTGATTATAATCATCTCATTCACAGTGTGTTTTGTTAGCCTAATAATTTAAGTTTTACATAATATGAAACTTAATGACAGAAAATTGAATAAAAACCTGAATTTTTCCAGTTCAGAGGCTTCACTGGTGATGTCGCTCTCACTCCTCTGTCTGTTCGTGTCTCTCAGAGGCTGCAGGCCTTGAGATCTGCTGACTCCGCTGCTGCGTGCTTTACTGTGACTCAACGCTGCCACCTGCAACACAGGGAGTCTCACACTACAACATATACACAGACCTGGAGAAATATGAGCTGCTTTGTAATTGTTATCAAAATGTCTAGACACACCGCCGCAGCGTGGCGTCATTGTTGTTCACCTCTTGTCTGGGAATGCTTCTGGCAAGCAGGGACTGAAGCCTCCTGAGATCATGAGATGGCCTAGAAAACAGGCTTCGTCAGGTTATTTTGTCATATTAGGAAAATAGATTTTAATTTGTGTAACAGAGCAGTAAATGGCCGTGAGGAGGAGATGGCCTGGCTTACTTGCTCTGGATTCCTCTGGATTTCAGGGGCAGTTTTTCTCCTTGTCTCACTTTTTTAACCGGATTGGACATTTTCAGCTTCCCCCATGAGTGGCCTGGTTCAGCTTCAGATAGTTTAAGTACAAAGTGACATTTAGACAGTGGTGGAAAGCACCTAAGTACATTTCTTTAAACAAGTATGTTTATTGGATTTTTAAAACACTTTGAATATTACATTAAAAACAACAACAAAAAACAAGTAAGGTATGAAACACAACATTCATAATAAGGCAACGTCTTAATATCAACTGCCCATATCTTATCAAAAGGATGTTTACCCTTAATTTGAAAAGCAGGTTTATCAAGGGCAGCAGAGTGTGACGGGTGTGTGTGTCATTTTCTTATCTGCCTTGCTTAGTTTACAGTTTACGGGAAAAATTCCAAGGATTCCAACACAGTTTGGGGCGTACAAGACAGACAAGTGAACACCTATGACATGAAAGGATGTCCAAAACCTGTATCCAGAAAGCCTGGATAAGGAATGAAATAGCGTGCCCTTTATTCCACATTTATTACAGATTTCAGGGATATTGGGATTGAATTTATTTAACATGGTTGGAGTTACATATATTGTCATTATCCACTTATATTGGAGTAATAAAAAATGGGTGTTTATGGATTGTGTTTGAGCTTTAAGCAGATCGTCGGCCAGTGCTCGACTGAGATTTCTCTATTTAAGTCATTTCTGAGGAGATCTGGGAGCCGTCCAAACTCAGTACATTTACTGTAATACACTTCCTTTGTACAGTTTTAAGGTGCTTGTATTTTACTTCAGTGTTTCCATTTTATGTGACTTTCTTCTTTAATTGCGTCACATTTTGGAGGCATTTCATAACTTGAGTAACGAGTTACTTTGCAGATTTAGATTATTAGTACTGTACACAAATCAGTTGATAAATAATGATATATTATTATAGGTTACGTTACATAAAGTAGGCTAAATAAAGTAAGTACAATTAGCTCCATCTTTACCAGCTGCAACATGTACAAATTAATCCATCTCTAATTGTCATGAAGTCATATATGTACAGTATATTATTCTGAAATGGACCATTCTGCATAAGAGTACTTTTACTTTTGGTACTTTAAGTATGCCTTGATGCTGATACTTTTGTATTAGTTTGAATTCAGGACTTTAACTATCATGATTTTTATGTCCTTGTCAGAAATAAGAAAAACAAAAACACTTTTCTTATTTTTTTTTATTTTTGTCCAACTTACTTTACACCAAAAGGAACATACAAAAAATAAATCTATCTGTCATTATTTTTTATGTATATGAATATAAAAAGTGGCCTTTTATGTGTGGTTTTTGCTATATTTCTTCTGTCCCTGAGACAGATTTTGGGCATTCAACCCTGCTTAATTTTGGATTTATTATCGATCAGAATACCCATTTTAATGACATGTAATCATGTGTTGTAAGATGTATTAGTATTTAGGTATTTTTTAGATTAAAAAACACCTGCCTCTTGGGGGTACTGTCATATATGTCCACCACACTGTACAAAATATAAATTCTTTTTTTTTTTTTTTTTTTCTTGGTGACCACAGCAATAGTCATGTGACAGCTGAGCACATGACTGGAGGAAAGTTTGCTCCATGGAGGGAACTAAAATAAGAATAGATCAATTATTATTATTTTTTTTAATCAAATCAAGAATATGTTTATTAGCTCTCATTCCCAGACAGCTCTTATTACCTCTGAGTGTACAAATAATTGGAAAACAACCTTTTATTATGTGTGTTTTGTATAAAATTTAGTGCTAACGCTAAAACTGACATTAGCAAGCCAATATATCATGAGATTATTTTTTATGTGACAAAATGTAATTTCCATCACTTAGTTTATTGTGATGGAAAGACAAAACCAGTGTTGTGTTACTGAAAATACTGTATTAATGCATTTCTCTAAAAATGTGTTACATTATTTATAAGTTTCCAAGTTGCAGAATGACCCTTTGACACTACTGAAGTAAAAGATCTGAAAACTTGTCCCTTGCTTTTAGACTTTCAGAAATCCTACGGAATAAACACAGCTAGCTTCTATGATAACAGGGCTGACTATGTTTGTCCAAAGGAGACGGCTGAGCTGAGCTGACCTTGTTGTCAGTTTGATAAAGACAAGTCAAAGGTCTCTTACCCTTCCTCCAGCATCGCAAACCAGCATCAACAGTTGATTTTGAGCCGCTAAATACGTGTTTTGTTTCATTAAATATCCTTGTTCGGGGATATAGGCGACAGAGTTGTTATTCCTGTAACAGTAGACGCCCCTTACGTTAGCAAATAACACAAAACAATGTTAAGTTTCACCGCGTTTTTAACCAATCCAGATGAGCAGTATTAGAGAGTCGTGGTTGCCATGGATACAACAGACGCCATCCGCATTCCGTCACCAGGGTATTTTGACACAGGAATGTCGTTAGACAAGTTGACGCACAGAATCACATATATTATACATTTTAAATATTAATGTCACTGACATTAATAATGTAATATATGATATGTGATAATGGCGACGAAGTTATGGACTCCTGAACTGACCGAGAGACTGTTCTTTACTTTTTAGAGGAGAGGGGGATGGCTGAGGTGTGACTTCATTTTATTTATTTATTTATCATTATTATTATTTATTTTTTTTATTTTATTTTATTTTTTTTTATTCTGGCCCTACCCCCACCATAAATTAGTTATTAGATCACTTGTCGTGCATGCTGGTTAGTCAGTGCAACTAGTTTATTTTTGTACAAATTCTAAACGAGATGTAGAATAAAGTTATTTAAATTAAATATCACTATTTTAAGCTCTATTTTTTTCTGACAGAAGCATTCCTTGCACATGATATGTCCAAGGACATCAGGAAATTTGAAAATCCAATGACAATTTCTGTTTTGACAGTTTCTAGCTTGATAAACGGTGTAATTTTGGCTTTTTTTTTTTTTTTAAAGAAAACACGCATCTGCAGGTAAAATAAATACCAATTACAACCATTTTAATATGTATAACCCTCCCCTCCCCAAAATAAAAAACATAAGTCCCTCACCAGTGTTTAGAAAATGATTTGACTTTTTTTCACCCAATTTCTAAGAAATTAAGAGTATTAAAAAAAAACAATAAAAGAATTACAATAACAATATGAAAAAACCCACATGTTTAATATATCTAAATAAAAGTGGAAGAGCTGTGCAGTTTTTAGAGGTGGTAGTTGTGAGCAGAAGGACGTAAAATATTGTCCAAGGAACGTGCAAAGTTCAGAGTGTGAGGTAAGAATGTGCTACTTGGAAAGATAAGCCCCCACCATTATAATTATTTAATTATTGAGTATTGGTACACATTGACAGAAAATTAAATTAACAATAAAAGCAAGTAGTATTCCAAAAATCCAGGAAAAAATACAATAAAAATATGATAAAATACTCTAAAAATATTTACAGTTTATCTGAATAAAAATGAAAGAGTTGTTCAGTTTGTAGAAGTGGTAGTTATGTGGAGAAAGGTGCAAAATTTGTCCAAAGAACATGCAAAAGTTCACAGTGTATTAAGTAAGAAGTAAATAAGAATGAGCCACGTGGAAAAATCAGCCCCCGTCCTTATTTAATCACAATTTAATTAAACTGCACGATAATGGTTACAGAGTGGGAGATGTAATTAGTTTCACATCTTCAAAAAAAAATGTTCCACATAAGAAAACGACTATTTGCTCATTATCGCGAGAACGCATCAACACTCAAAGAAATTACAAGCTATCGCGAGACTTGAGTGTTCCTCCCTTTGTGATTCACGTAGGATTTACGTCAGCCTTTCTGCGTAGGGCGGTTGATCACGGGATGCGCTGCGTGCCTCATAGTGCGTAGCTCGGGCAGAGGCAGTGAGAAGGGGAATGTCGGCTTGTGAATGATCGGTTTTGAGGCGGCAGGGAGCGTCAACGTTATGGGTGAGACTGCTGTAGTCAGATACTGTAAACATTTATTCACAAACCAGCGCTGTAAAGTCCAACTGTGATAATTTGTGTTGGATTGGATTCGCTTTCTTTTAATAATTCGTCCGCGCTGCTATTTAGCTTCTGCAGTTGTCTGAGCAACCAACGCCCAGTCGTCCGCCTCCACTTGGATGGGTTGCTAACTAGCTAGCTAGTTGTTAGCCCGAGCTTCGCTAGCAGCCTGCATAACCTAACGGGAGAGTCATTTCCTGCCTTTAGCTCTTTAGCAAAGTATTCCGGTAAACGTTTCTGTGTGTGTTAAGAGCTCACACTATCAGCAACGTTAACACACATGTTATAATTGTGTTTTTAAAGCTTGTCTAACGTTATAATAACGAGCAATTAGACTGACTGGCTAACTTGGTGTCGTTTGTTGGATTAATCAGCTCACGTCAATGCTAACTACTGCATTGAGGTGTTGTGGCTTTGTATTTGATTTGTACACGTTTGTTGACGTGAGGTAACGTTAAATAGCCCCGCATTATGCTGAATACAGTCACTGTAGCTAGCATCAAATGTGCCCGTTTGACAATGCTACTTCAAACAGGGAGCACCACCACTCTGTGTCGTCTGTGTGCCCTAGATGGGGGCTGCATTAGTGTGCGTGATCAATAATTTGATTAAACTGCCATGATTGGAGCATCTAGGTTAGGCAAACAAAGCCAAAGCTGGAAGATGTGTCAGGGTTAGGCATAAGGAGGGCACGGCTGCCATCTAATCTGGATTACAGTGGATCTACTACCTCAGAGTTCATGTTTGACTCTTTTTAAGTTCACTGGCTTCAGACTGTGACCTCCAAGCCAATACTGTAACTGGTGTTTCTCTCAAACTGACACAACAAACTCTTAAAATACACACAAGCAAACTGTAGCTCAGTCCTCCACCTGTCACCACTTCCTTTAGCAGGCTTGTCAGACATTGCCGGAAAAGGAAACAGACAGCTGTCACTTTAAAATGACAGATCTCTCAAATTCCTCTCAGCTTTTTACTTTTCAAAAAGCAGCTGTTATAAAAGACGGCTGCTGGAGGTTTGGCAGTTAACCTATTTGTAAAATCCAGTACATAATGATTCACAAAGTGATGCAGTGGGATGCTGCTGAGATTAAACTGCACATCCTGTAGGCAAATGAGCACATGAAGTCACAGCGTCACGCAGAAGACATGAGGGGCTGCTGTTGGCTGGCAGGAGATGCTCCAGAGTAAGAGGCAGAAATCCTCTCCTAGCCACGGGCGCAAAGAAAAAGCTGCAGCAGTGAATGGGCCTTGCTTTATGGTGCCATTGACATTAAAGGAGCAAGTGGAGTGGAATATGTACCACACTGGCCAACTGTCTGTGTTGTTACAGTAGCCCAGATCATGAATCATTTTGCCTCAGGCTTCTCAGCTTGGGAAACTGATTCTGGAGACAGAATGGTTTGTTTGTCAGATGGCCTGAGATTGATTCCCTTTTGCCTTTTTTGTTTTTGTGCTCTCTCCCTTTGCTTTCCAACCCTGGAAACACTGGCTTTTCCTGCTGATTGGGATGGCATTACATGGATCTACACAAAACAGCTGTAAGTATTTAAATTATCTCTATACTTGACATGATTGGACCTTAGTTTTTCCAGCCATTACGTTCATACGGACATTCAGCATCCGGCTCTGCCTCATCTAATTTTACGCAAGATCTCAAAATATTCCAGTATACCAACTTTATTTAAATGGTGGCAAATTGGATTTGAATATTTCACTCATTGTAAGTTTAAAAAAAATGAAAACAGGAACAGGCAGACGTAGCATAAGTATGTGAAGTTGTCAAACAGTGTTAAAAAATGTTGATTTTATTTTTTTTTTAAACTTTCAATCCACTGGAGGGGAACATTAGGGTTCAGTGGGAGTATATTTCAGTTTTGGCAGCGTGGGGTTAGGGCGATAAAAACCATTTTAAAGCCTTGCAGTTAAAGCGCAAGATAAAGTGCAAGATTAGATTTCTTTATAGATTTAATGTGTGTATTTTTTATTTTATTTTTTTTACTGTGTTGCAGCAGCAAAAGAATCTGGAAGGATATGTTGGCTTTGCAAGCCTCCCCAACCAAGTGTACAGGAAGTCTGTCAAGAGGGGCTTTGAGTTCACCCTGATGGTCGTGGGTAAGAACACACGCTTCTCAGCTCTCTGTTTGCTCTTGTTTTACATGAATCATTTCATTGTATTTCTTGCGGTTGGCATCTTAAAACCCTTCGCTGTGGTTTGTTTTTGGGAGAGAGACAGAGGGATTGTGTGTGCGCGCAGTCATATTTATACACGAGGGACATGCCCCCAGCTTTGTAGTGTTAATTGCTGAGTCAGAGAGGAGGGGGGCGTTGCGTTGCTGTTGTTCGAATTAATCTTGATGTCAGGTCCTTGACACTGTCTCCCTGAACAGAAACATTTGGTATGGATTTATCTTGAGCTCCACGCAGCGAATCAAAAATGGACACATTCTTGTAGAATGCCTGGATGTGGTGGTTGACACCAAGCCAAGATCCTCCTCGGCTGATCAGACCCTGTTTGGAGGGAAAATGTTTCCTCGGGTCAAAACCATTTCCTGTGGTGGGACCGACAGAATTTGTACCCAGCATGCCTCTAAGAATAGCGCATCTCCCATTGCGCTCCACAACACTCTATCTCTTCAGGCTTTTTGCTTATGGTGCTGCTGATACATTCTAGTTACATTTTAGTGTGCAGTCTTTTTATTGCTATTATTAGGTATTACATTAGAACACCCTCATGACCAGGCACTTGGATCCTGCTTGCTTCTATTCTCTGCGGTGTCCACTGTAAAAGCTGCTGGATTGTGACCAAGTGCTCCTCCTGGGCTTGTGAATGCTTTAATGTGTTTGCAACAAAAGGCTTCATTTTGGGAATAATTTCAGAAAAGATAAAAATGGCGTTACATCTAGCAACAAGGGAAGTAGCTGAGGTTTCTGGGCTGGTAGTTTAAAGCTTGCCATTGTTTTATGGTATCACCCCCTTACATGGACACACACACACAATATTCAGCTTTTCTTGGCTCTGATGAGCTGTGAGCCCACATGTCCCCGTCGTGCAACGCAGTGCGTCACCAGTGTGGTGTGAAAGAGGAAAAGAGGATGAAAGAAAGAGGAAGGGAAGGAGAGAGGGGACTGGTATTAGCAGCAGGGACTGGCACGTCGTCTGCCCACGCCTCATGAAACGCATGACCCAACAACCTGTTCAGTTCACAGATTGAGGGGCAGCTCATTTCACAGGCCTGTCATCACTTCATATTGCAGTAAATTTAACAAGCTCATACCCACACGGTTATGTGCCATGCATAAACCGCACGACAAACAAATGCTTCGGTACGAGCTCCACACATTACCCTTTGACTGTAGCTCTGGTGTAAATGGTGGCTCGTTAAATATTGACTCGTGGCCATCAGCCAAGGCGGGCAGTGTCAGTGGTCGTTTCCACTAATGATTCTTTTCATTGGGAGCTTGGAAACTGGGCACACAATGGCCAACCAAGCTTGAGAAGCCTCCCAGACCGCACAGCCAGTCGGCTGCACATAACAAGAGCCATTGTCTGTGTTGTTTCCTTAGCCTTTTAACTGCAGACCCAAATGGATGAATGTCTTGGGCAAATGTCAGTCTCATCCCCGGACAGACACATGGCCTTTGATTGTCTTTAGGATGTCAACAGTGATCTTTGTGTGGATATAATACATAGGGTTGAGCTTTTGTTCTGTAAATTGTCAATATTTGTCTTCCAAGTAATACACTGCCTTACAGTCGGGCCAACTTTCTATCTGTAACCTGAAGAACAGAGTTCACAGTCGTCCAAAAATACTGATTTGTTTTCCTTTTTTGCTTTATTCCAGGTGAGTCAGGGTTGGGCAAATCCACGTTGATCAACTCTCTGTTCCTAACAGACCTGTATTCAGCAGAGTATCCTGGACCTTCACACAGAATCAAAAAGACTGTACAGGTACATTTTGACAAACAGATCTGATCTTTGAGCTGAGATTTTAAACCTAGAGTCTATTTTTTATGTTTTTGGATCTAAGTGACTCATGGGAACAACGGTTTTTAAAACTGGTCCAGTATTGAGAGAGAGTGCTGCAGCTGACAGCGATGAAACAGGCTACAGTGAAACCAAGTGGGGGCAGGTGCATCACGTCAATTTACGTCCATTAAAAATGCTTGTTTTTGCCACTAACAAGCTCAGATTGTTATTATAGGTGTCTTACAACAATACGGAAAGGAACCCACAGAGAAATGAAACGTTTTTCCTTACCTTGCACTTATTTGGATCTGATTTGTGTCAGAGTCTTGCTCAAAGAGAAGTCTTGTTCTTTACATTGTGGAAATCACAACAAACTAAAATGTAACCACTTGCGTTAGGTGCACCCCATCAATTTACGTCCACTAAAAGTACTTGTTTTTGCCACTGACAGGCTCAGATTGTTATTAAGAGTGTCTTATTACACTACAGAAAAGACCCTACAGAGAAATGAAACATTTTTCCATCCCTTTTGCTTGTTCCGGTCCGTTTTGTGTCCGAGTCTCGCTAAAAGAGAAGTCTTGTTGCAGGTAGAAAATGGTGGTAATGCCAGTGAGATTTGGAGATAGTAGTACTGGCAACAGTTTGTTGTGTTGGAGTACAGAAAGCACATCTTTTATCTAAAAGATTTTCAGTGTCATGGCTGAATGTTAAGCTGATTTCAACCTTGTAACAAAGTTTGCCAGATTTCAGAACAAGACTTCTCATTGAGCAAGACACAGATCAGATCCAAACAAGTGAAAGGTATCTCAAAATGTTTCATTTCTCTGTAGGGTCCTTTCCGTAATGTTGTAAGACGCCCATAATAAAAATCTGAGCTTATTAGTGGCAAAAACAAGCACTTGAATTGGTGCATCTGACCCCAGTTGGTTCCATTGTAGCCTGTTTTGCCACTGCCAGTTGCAACTGTCTCTCCCAGTACTGGACCAGTGTTAAAATGTGTTGTTCCCACGAGTCACAGGTATAAAACATGGAAAAAAATAGGGTCCAGGTTGAAATAACCCGAGCTCTCCTTTAAAAAGAACACACCTGCTGTGTTCTATGTGCTGGGATGAAAAAGAAACCAATACACAATTTTGATATAGCATTAAGTAAACCGAATATCAAAGCTGAAAATGTCCGTGGCTGGTAAGATTCTCTAACCCACCTACAGCTTTGGCACCATCACTGTGATGTTTTATGTAAAACTGGCCAGGACTCAACAGACAACACCAACAAATACAGATTGTTTGCTGTCTCATAGCACATCTGTGTTAGTGACAGAACTTCCTACTTCCTACTTTAATCATCAGTGTTTTCCACTGTGTTCTCAACTGTGTAGCTCCCAGTTAGATTAGTCTTCTTTGATAAATACAGTAACATTAAACTTCTTGGCCTGGTAGTTAACAGTTACAGCAGTGGCGGGACCATTAACAGACATAACAAATTATAATGAAAACATACATGAAGCTCTGTTGATAAAACATTGTGATTAACGGCATTACAGTGCCAGAGGACCTGCTCTGTTAAGAGCATAAAGAATGATCTCTTCCTTTCTCACCATACGTCACGCAAAATAGTGACTCTGAAGCTTTAACACCCCCAAAAATCATCTGAGAATCGTAGGAAGGGATTGTTCTTTTAGATTTATTTTTATAAGACTGTCTTGAATTAGATTCAGCTCTCTTAACAGTCGGTTTGATTTGTAAAAATACTTTTTAACACTGTGATGAGGTTTGATTGAATCTTTAAGAGGTGCAGTAAAACCTTTAAGAGTCTGACTTGTTAAAACCAATATGACAAACTGTCAGCTCCTGCCATGAATGCCTACATTGTCCCTAATTACACAACGATGTCCTGAATCTTGAGTGCCTCAAGTGCTGCACTTTATCTGTCTGGTTCCTGACTGACAGCGTTGCTATCTCCAGATGCTTTTTCTGGCTTCTCAGCATAGTTAGCTAATAGCACAGTGTGACACGGCGTGTTGCCACATGCTGCTTGCTTCAAGTGTTTTCTATGTGAAATATATGATCTGGGATGTTATTAGGTTACAGTGATAATGATTTCAAAACACTTGAACAATTAAATTATGAAAGGCAGACGTAAACACAATGTTAACTTCATTCTTTCTCCTGTGCCAGGTGGAGCAATCCAAAGTTTTAATAAAGGAAGGCGGCGTCCAGCTGCTGCTCACAATAGTCGACACTCCAGGGTTCGGAGATGCGGTCGACAACAGCAACTGGTAAGGATCACCACAGCTTGAGCTCAGCACAGATAATATCCTTCATGTATAATCCTTAACATGTCATAGCTTCTCTCCACCATCCCTTACTAAAGGGGTTCTTCTGGGTCTCAGTGGTCTCAGTTTGTTTCTTAACCGAAACTGTCATTTGTATTATGCAGCTGGCAGCCAATCATCGACCACATAGACAGCAAGTTTGAGGACTACCTGAACTCAGAATCCCGGGTGAACAGACGGCAGATGCCCGACAGCCGGATCCACTGCTGTCTGTATTTTATCGCCCCCTCGGGACATGGGTGAGTCTGGGAGACAAACTCATAAGACAGCCAGTGCCTTTCTTTGTCACTGCATGACAAGTGAGGAAGGAACGGTGTTGCCAACTCTTTTTCAACATAAGTAGCTAGCACTAGCTCCAAAAGATGCTAAAAGTCACCAGATGACATCATATGACATCATATGCTTATTTGCATATTGGTGACATCATCGCACATTAATAGAAGCATTAACACTGATTTTGATTCAGTAGAAAAATGCTCAGTAAAACACTGAATGGTCTGAGAGCTATGGTGCCTATACTGTGGTGCTCCACTTTCTCCTGCATCCAATTCTGAAAGTGAGAGCATCAACGTAACCATAGAAACTCACTACAACTGAACTCCCATGGGAGAGGTGCCTCCTCTTCACGCCTACTGCATAGCGCAAAAGGAGAGAGGGGGAGAGCCTGTCGACTGCAATTAAGCAGCATGCTTGGGAATGAGTAACATTATAATGTATTTCTATCTTTTTCTCTGACGGTCTGAATAAGTTACTAAATGTGTCACGAGTCGCTTTTTAGAATTAAAGTCGCTAAGACTAGGGCTGCCCTCTGAAAGTCAGAGATTTGACTCATTAGTCGGAGACCCCGCAGTCGACTGAGATTGTTTTAAGTCAGAGTGCAGGATACTTCTGGAGATGTTATGGTCTCCAGATTTTGCTGCAGAATAATGGGCCGTCTGGAAAACGCGAGGTCGGGTGCTGGGTGCTACTGTTGTGCCTTTTTTGTCCCAGCTTTCAAGAGCGTGCTGGCAAGTTGTGTCTGAGGTTGCTAAGCAACCTCAACAAGCATGGTACCATAGCCCGCTTACATAAAATCCTGAGTGCAGTGCTGATCATCTTCCAGGAGCTGTTTATAAGTGTGTTGGCCAACCGTCTGTGGGACAGATGTAAAGCTCTGGGTAGCCCTGCACTAACATGATCAACTTCTCCATATTTATCACAGACTAAGATTCATGGGAGAAGGGAAAAATCTGTCGCCTGTGACTGGTTGAGGGTCAAGGATGAAGCCTTTTGTACATGGGGCGCCTGCTCTATCCACTAAGCCACCGATGCCCCGGAAGTGGTGACTTTATTGCTCAAAGCAACTTAATACGATACAGTCTCTGGCTTTTGTTTGATTTCTAGTGTCAGCAAAAAAAAAGCTGTTGCACATTTCCAATCCCTCGTTAGTGCAGTTTACTAAATTACGTGAATGTCACTGTCACACTGAACGCCTCACTGAACCCCGTTCAAACTTTAAAACTTTTCATGGGAAAAAAACCCTGAACAGTCATAATTATGAGTCGAGTACAGGCCTGGCTAAGACGCTCTGAAAAGTCGCTAAACCTTGCGAGAAAGTCACCACGTTGGCAACACTGGGAAGGAAAAGGACTGGAGAAAGGAAAACATTGGAAGGGAAGGGGGAACAGTGAGAGGAAATGAGTAAAAAAAATAGTCTAAGGAGGGAAATGAGAGGTCAAGAGTGCCCCAAAGGCCAGAGAATAAGATTTGTGCCTGGAGGTGACGTTTGCTGGGTCAGATTCTTGTGCAGTCTGGACAATACAATAAAGCTACTCCTCTTCCTCCTTTAACATTTAGCAGCTCCCCACTGGTTTCAGAGCAGCTCAGTGGCCGAAAGCATGAATCTTCTGTCACGCCGGGTAGCTCGTGAGTGTGTGCAGTAAATGTGTCATACTCTATCTCCTACAACTGCTCCCCGTAGGCCATTTCTGTAAATGATAATGTGAGACTGCGTGTTGTGCAGAATAAGGGCTAAAACTTGTAAAAGGGTAAAAAGGGGGGGCACCAGCAATAGAGATGAAGACGCTGGCAAAATGCCCAGCTGATGATACTGATCACTGAATGTTTCATAAAGAGAGGGCTGTGTGGAATTTTAACTGTGATGTTTGTTTCTCACAAGCCAGCAGATCTTGTACGATTAGCTCAGATCTTTTTTTTTTTTTTTTCACAAGTTTACGTGTCTTGTGTGATGCACAATTCGGTCGAAGAGCAGAAAGTGTGGGAGCAGTGAAATCGAGAAACTTCAGAGGTTATTTCCTGCTCTGAATTAAAGCTGGTTTCAGTCAATACCTCATTTAAATGCACGTATGAGTTTAAAGCCAAAGCTTGCCCCAAGTCAAGGCTCATGACCTTTTTAGAATACAGAAGGAGCTCATGCTGTTCGCCATCGTACGGCAGGATAGTGATGTGTTTGTGTCTGCTGTGTGGAGCCACCGTATTTGTGTATGCAAATGTCCAGTGTATGCATGCTCACATGTCCTTAAAGCTGTTGACCGTGACTTACTGTAAACAACGAAGAAGCCTCTGTCCTCCTCTCTCCTCGATTTTTTTTTCTCCTTCCTCAGTCTGTCTGTCCTCTGTGAGACATTGTGTTTGTACAAGCCTGTCCTCTGTACCCACACAAGCAGTACTTTAGCCTTGAGGATGGGCAGCGTATGTTCTCTCACACACACACACACACACACACACAGAGCATCCCCTCACAACACCAGCTGACTGCTCTCACACAGCAGCACAATGACCTCCAACACTGAGAGACAATCTGAACATTGAACTCCCAGCTGAACTATGGTGACTGGTTTTCTTGAAGGTTGGAGGACGGTGACTCATTGAGGAAAAAATCCCCCACATTAGTCTACGTTAAATCATTAAACGTGTCATTCCCTAAAACTGTGGTTGAACTCAAGTATGAGACTTGTTTCCTGTGAATATCAGAATGTAGAGTTCAAATAAATAGTTGATTAATTGAACAGTTGACAGAAAGATAAAATGCGGCTATTTTGGTAATCAAGTAAATTTGCTACAATTTCTGAGGTTTCAGCTCCTAGATGTGAGGATATGATGCTTATCATCTTCATCACAGTTCATCAAATACCTTTTTACTTTTGGACTTATGATCAGGCAAGAGAGACATTTGTAGACGTCACTTTGGGCTCCGGAGATTTTTTCTTTTTGTCTTTTTTTCACTTTAAGACCAACAATAAATCAAATAAGTAAGCAGCAGATTAAATGATAATGAAAATAATCCTTAGTTTCAACCTAATCAGGAAGTGAGTTTATTTGTGTGTAAAATCACAATGTCGTAATTACAGAAAAAAGAGGATGTACAATAAATAAGAACAAAAATACATGATTAAAAAACAGGATTTTTATGTCTTATTTATTGAATAATTTAACTTTTGATTATCCAGATACTCTATGTCCACAAGGTCTGGGCCATATGTAGAAAATCAAATATGATATTTTTCTTCAAATACCTCAACACTCATATTACGATGATGTCATAAGATTGACAAGTGGTGTTTTCAGAAATTATTTACACAGTTAGATTTTTTGATAAATACTCATCAGTAATTTGGATGTGATGTTTAAATTGGTAAAGGCAAATAATAGAACAGCGAGAACAGTCTAGTGAAGTTCAGAAAATTACGTCACCTTAAACACAGTCTTTCAAACTAGGAAAAGACAGCACCTACAGTCTCGTAACACGATATCGATATACTGCTCAGCCCTGATATCTGCTTTTTAAATAGCTGATCCACAGACAAATCAGGGTTTCTCTGGATCCTTAAAAGTCTTAAAGGCACTGAATTAATTAATCTAAAAAATAAGGCCTTAATTGGTATTAAAATGTCTTAAATAAATTTTTCAAAAGCCTTAAAATGTTAATACATTGGAGGTAGGATTATAGAATCGGTTTTCCTGTGAGGTCGCGTCGTAAAAATGTCAAAATAATTGCTTACACCTTTTTTTTCTTCAAATAAATCATTTACTGAATGCCTCTTGCATTAAGACACCACATCAGGATAGCGGAACCAGCGACACTCATGTTTTGTTTCCAGGTGTAATGCTCAGAGCAGAGGATCCACTGTCTGCAAGCTAGCTGTCGCTGTACCCTGTACGACATGAGAAAGTATAGATTCAATGAGAACTGGCTATTTAGTCAATATATTGTGGCATGACTGAAACCAGTAAAGGCAGTGCATTCAAGGCTCTGTATTTTATGCACAAAAAAATTTTCAAACTTGGCATGATGGGAATCAGGGCAAGAAAACAAGCTAACAAATGCCGGGTACTTCCTGATTCTGATCTTCCCTTGTCTTTTTGTCTTAACTTAATTGCAAATGGCATTAAAATGTCTTAAATCTAACTTGCTATTTAACTATGTTGATAATCGATTTATCATTATTATATCATAAGCTAAAATGCCAAACATCACAGAGTTCCATCTTATCATTTGTGAAGATGTTCTCCTTTTCTCTTCTTTGTGTCATTGTAAACTGAATGTCTTTAGGTTTTGAAAAGTTGTTCAGACAATGAAGACATTTGAGGATGTCACATTAGGTGTCTGGTGTATTGTGATAGGCATTGTGAATGACAGATTTATCAATAATCGTTTTTAAATAATCGTAAGTTGCAGCCCAAATATTTTAATGAAATGCAGTATTTTCTTCTGTTCAGTATTTTGTAATTTTACATATAACTTGCTTGTTGTCTCCACCATGTATGATCATTTTGGCTTGGTTTTTTTGTTCTCTCAAAATATGTCGCCCTATTTGTGTAAGACATTTTGGGGAATGTCCTCGTCTGAGGTTGAAATTGTTTCCTCCTCAGGAAAGAGATTGGTCTGAGACATGTTTAGCGTAGTCTGAAGGGTGCTGAATCACACTGAAGTTGATGTGTTTGGCTTTTCTGCGTTGTAGCTTGACAGCAGCACGTTTTTCCAGTCAGTTTGTGTCAGCGTTTGTGAAAACTCTGGCCCTGCAGAGCTGGTTTTATTCGAATTTATACACACTTAAATGTGTTCTTTTGACTGGTATTGCTCATATAATACAGCTACCTTTTTAAAACATTTAGAAATAAACAGTCAGTTAACATTTCTGTCAGTGTTATGGTGTTTTTTGATTTGCACCACCTCAGATGAGACACTCATGTGTATGTGACCACTCCATGGACCAGCTGTCATTATTTGCTGTTTGGTTTATGATAAAGGTTTATGATACCCATTGTGAATGCAACAGCATGACTTATGTCACCTGCTAATGATGTTAGTGAGGTCTTCAGTGCATTTTTTAATCTGATAAATAAATAAAGAACGCGAGAGAGAACTGTTGCTTCCAGCTGTTGCATTCAGGTTTTCTTGAGAGTGTCAGCGCAGCACTGAGCTGTAAACTGACCTGCATTTCTGTTGGCGACGTGACAAACATCCCACTCTTAAAACAAGCATCATATTCTGCTTCAGGGCAGATCCTGACTCAGAGGGATATTTCCACTCTGCCCTCAAAGAAGAATCAAATGAAAATCAAGTTATGTTTTATAACAAAATACAAAGTGAAATGCAAAACTATAACTCAATAACTCAGTCACGTCAGATGGTATTTATTCAGTTCAGAAACGGCCAAGAATAGCGACGTTTTCTCATGACTAGAAGGTCGTTTTCTTAGACATTACAAACATCATTCATGCGTCACAGATGCTTGTCTATATTTGGGTATAGCTCCATTTATTCTTGAGCTAAACAAGAAGCAGTGATGAAATGTAAATTCAGAAGCCAGTCAACCCCAAAATATCCCATTTAATTCTTTAATAACAGAGGAGGAAAAACAGTTTGATTATTTGCTGGGCAGGCTGGAAAATTGAAGATATCATACCAAGTTAAACAGTGATTCAGACTGATTTGACTCTGATCACTGTGTCCAGTTTGAACTGCACATAACGCTGTATCTTTATCTCCACGCAGACTGAAGCCCTTGGACATTGAGTTCATGAAACGGTTGCATGAGAAAGTCAATGTCATCCCGCTGATCGCCAAAGCAGACACCCTCACCCCAGAGGAATGCCAACAGTTCAAGAAACAGGTCAGTGGTTTCCACAGCTGCACACCACTGCAGAAAAAGTATTCGAGAGCATTTCTTTTACTGTAGTCATCAGTATGATGGCGAAAATGTGCATCATGAGGCCAAATAAAGCAGGCGCTCTGTGGTGTTAAGGATGGTTTACAGCAATGTCCTGCACTGTGTGGAAGGTTAGCTGTAAATTATACAGAGAAAGAAAGATTCATAAGTATTTCCTGTTTCCATTTTGCAATGTGCTTTGTGTGATAGTTTGTTTGACAGTGTGCAAAAAGACAGGTGTGACCATGAAAGACAAGCAACATTTCTAAATAGCAGAGTAAAGAGAGCATGTGACCACGATTGTGTCAGACAAATTCACATTATTATGCTGTATCAACTGAAATCATTACATGCTGCAGCCTTTATAATACGTTATTATCAGATATCAAACAGTCCACGCAGTGTTACTTCCTGTTTTTGGCTAATGTTCTTTCTCAAACAGAGAATGGGGTTGTGGTTAATACTCTGACATAATGGGTCAACGTTACCATGGCTACCAGATGGCCGTTCTGGCATACTTGAACTATGAGGATGAGGATTTTTCTGCATCTCTTTCACCTGAGAACAACTCCCCAATGAGATGACAGCCATCATATACACTTGAGCCAATGCCTTGCATTTTGGGAAATGTTGCTGGTGCCTCTGCAGCTTGTTAACCTGCAGAGCCAGCGCGGCACTAGCTTGGGATATGTGCTGCCTGCACACATGTCATCAGCTGGGAGAAAGGCGAGCAGCAAGTTTGCCAAATTTCACAAGCTCTCTTTGCTTTTTTCAGTCATATAAGAATAAATGAACAACTCTGTTCCGTGTCACAGTCATTTAAACACGAGGAAAATAGCTGTCACAAAAGTACCTTTTGCTATTTCAGTTTGAATTGGTATCGTTTGTTGGCTCAGTGGGTGTGCTTTGGGCTACTGGGTTAGCTCGATGAACAAGAGTGTCGCTGGTCTTTGACTCAGTGGGTGTGTGCTCATGAAAGAGTTAACTCAGGGTAACAGCTCATTGTGGGTTTGTGCTCATGACGATGAATAGCTAGGTCGCAGTGTTGTTAATTGGTTTGCCGCTTAGACACACTACAGTCATATGTCATCTTCCTGTTTAAGCAACAACCTTCTTTTTTTAACTTTGAGAACAAGTTGAGTTATTTGTCAAAAAATATTTGGGGCGTCGGTGGCTTAGTGGATAGAGCAGGCGTCCCATGTACAAGGCTGTTGCCGCAGCGGCCCGGGTTCGACTCCAGCCTGTGGCCCTTTGCTGCATGTCCTTTCCTGTCTCTCGCCCCCCTTCACGCTTAAGCTGTCCTATCAATTAAAGGCTAAAAGGCCCAAAAAATATCTTAAAAAAATAAATAAATATTTGACAGTGTGGCTCATCAACATTGTCAGGAAACAACAGCGAATTCTGAAATATCATAAAAATCTCAAAATATACGACAGTTGGGATTTAAAGATCTTTTCTTTTATTGCTAGATCATGCGGGAAATCCAGGAGCATAAAATCAAGATCTACGAGTTCCCTGAGACGGATGATGAAGAAGAGAACAGGCTGGTGAAGAAGATAAAGGTACTATATGTCACATAGCACATCAGATTACATAAGTGTACTAGTTTACAAACCCAAATACTCAAACAGTTGTATTAATAATGCCAAATATTGTTTTTTTTCCAGGACAAGTTGCCACTGGCTGTAGTAGGAAGTAACACCATCATCGAGGTGAACAGCAAGAGGGTCAGAGGGAGACAATACCCCTGGGGGGTTGCAGAAGGTACGGGTGTTTAAATGCTTCAGGACAGGACAGCGTTCCTGAAAACAGGAGCTGAACATTATTCATGCTCCCATGTCGGCCTTCATAATCGAGTGCAAGATGTGACTTGGTGGCTGACGTACAAACAAGTTCAAAGTATTTTGTTATAATTGTCTGACTGATGTCTTATTTTTTCTTCTAGTTGAAAACAGTGACCACTGCGACTTCACCATCCTCAGGGACATGCTCATCAGGTACTGAAACAACAGAACCATAAAGAACGTTGAAATGGTGTATTATGTCCGATCTCATTGCAGCTGGAAGAGCAGTTGAAATATTACTCAGAGAGCATCTTAAATATTTTTGAATTCTCTGCCGTCCCTCCCCAGAACTCACATGCAGGACTTGAAGGACGTGACAAACAACGTCCACTATGAAAACTACCGCAGCAGGAAGCTGGCTGCCGTCACCTACAACGGAGTGGACAACAACAGGGCTAAAGGTCAACTGTCCACAAAGTAAGTCCTGCAGGAAGCACAGTAGAGACAGCAGCTGCAGTGAAGGCAGGCAGGAAAGATTCACTTCTGAATAATGTTGCTTAGATCATGTAGAGCAGAACAGGAGCTCTGAGTTGTTGGTTACCTCCTTCAGTCTTTAGTGTATCTAGCCAATTTACAAGCCTGTTAAAGTGTGGGAGATTTATGTGTCACCGACCAAATGCTGATAAATATTTGCTGCATCTACTAGGAGTTTTGACAAAACCAGTGATCAGGAAACCTGCAGCTGTACTGTAGACACTATTTAGGATGCCATTCCTGTATGTTGAATGAAATTTATTTATACAGATGCAGATGTTGAAGAGAGAGTTGAAATTCCATTCCCAGTAGTATGTTGATACAGTAACTTCTGCTGGCTTTAAACTGGCCTATAGTGACACGGGGTATCTGCAGGTTTACTTCCTTAAAAAATACTTTGAATTTGATTCACAAAAGACTTCCTTAAAATACTTTCTTGTGCCTACCCCAGACAGTAATGTTAGATATTATTACATATTTTGGTATCTGTTGGCTGTTGGGAGGCGTTACATACTTGTAATGTTTTGGCAGTGGATTGTGCTGCAGGAGGCTGCTGAATAATTTTTTGTGGTGTTTCAGTCATCACCATCAGACCTGCAGCAAAAACTGTCACCACTGCTAGCTACACTAGCAAAGAAGCTCATTGTCTCATGATGGGCAAGTGGCAGTTTTAGCAAATTAACTTAATTAAGTAATTAGTCATATTTATTCCATCCGTCTCATGCTGCATATCCAGGTCCAGATCACATTAATTTGATTATTTATACCATTGAGAATTATTGCTTTATAGAATGCTGCAGGGATGATGTGTTTTTGTAGGCCAACACTGAAGTTAGTGTCGCCCTGGTTCTCTCCTCAATGATATTTACGTGTTGTGTTCAGTAAGGTAATCTTCACAAAGGTGGATAGTGCCGGTGCCCCATGTACAGAGGCGTTGCCTCGCTGCAGCGGTCGCAGGTTCAAGTCCGGCCTGTGACCCTTTGCTGCGTGTCAGTCCTCATTCTCTCTCTGTCTCCCCATTTCACACACTGTCCTGTCAATTAAAGGCAAAAAGCCCAGAAAAATAATCTTAAAAAAACAACAACAAAAAAACACTTATTGAAGCCTCAATGCAAACGGAAGTAAAAAGCTAATGTCACGGTCACATGACTTCAACGTCACCACCACAACGATAATGTAAAGCCATGTTTTTAAGACATATAAAGGCTTTCTAATTTACAAGTGGGGAATTTACCAACTTATTTTATGTCGTAGAACAAAAGTTGAAAGTCTCTTAAGGCATCTCACCAAAAACCTGTTAAAAACAACCATTAACTTCGAGATGAGGGAACCAGGAGTGCTAAAATGCTAACTCCTTTCTAGCTTTTTGGACTCATTTCCTGCAGCACAAAAAATTGACATAATAATAGATAAGTCAAGGCAAAATCGTCCCTACTGGTTTTCCATCATATTTTCATGCTGGGCCAGTATGATGGCAAAACAGACATTTAATTGCAATCAATTGTATTTGGTATTAAAGAGAGGATTATAAAAGATATAACATTTAATGTGGTGAACCTGCAGAAACCCTGGTAAAGCAACATGATGACATGATGAGTTGTGTTCTCATTGTTTACCTCTATCTTTATTTATGTATTTAGGTATTTGGGTTGCAGGTAACTGGAACAGTCAAAGTTGGGGGAGTTCATTCATCACCCATTCGTTCTCTGTTTGTGGTGTTTGACAAACACTCAGTGATTCTGCTTTTGTCGTAGCCTCTCACTGTGCTACTGTGCATAAAATCATGCCACTGATTTTCATACGTTTTCATCCAAAGCGCCACGCTGCTCTCTCATTCATGTAGACACAAGCAAATGTCTAACTCACTAAGCTGAAGTTCTGATCAGAGGCCTCACACCGCTGATGCTAACACACAGCTCAACATTTGGCCAACTCTGCTAATGTATTTGACACCCAGCTCACAAAGCACACATTGTTGTTTTTTCCAAGCTTTCTTTTTTTTTCCATTTGCAGTGAAAACGTTGCTGAAATCACAGAAAGAGACTGTAGTTTTATTTTAGTGCATGACCTCATTATTGCATGCTGTGTGTGTTTTTGTGTGTGTGTGTCTGCGTGTGCGTGTGTGTGTGTGTGTGTGTGTGTGTGTGTGTGTGTGTGTGTGTGTTTGGTTGTATGTGTTTTTGTTTTTTAGACTTGACACAGTTGAAGGAATGTAAGTGGTCATTTTTTCACTCATTTTTAAGACCCTTGTGTACGTCTGAACTCTTCCTCTACTCTCCCCCCGTTGGCTGCATTCGGGTGTTTTCTTTCCTCCCTATTGACTCAGGTCTGCCTCCCCCCCAACTTCCCCCTGTCAGTAGACATTTCCAGGGACAGCCGGAGAAAAACTGTGAATTGCCACATTTATGAATGTCGTTTGACAGTTATGAATGTGATGCCTTCAATTTTTTTTTCCAACAACAAAGCCTTTGATTCTTTCCACTGGTGTTTTCATTGCTGCCTCCACCTGCTGCTGCTGTTAGCCCTGCTTGGAGTAATAACAGAGACCTGGACATGAGGTGTATGGAGCGGTTAAGAACGATTATGAGATGCATGACATAGCCCAAGAAGAAAGTCATGCATATAATCTGTAATCATGAGATAAACAAAACTATCTAGTTTATCATCGATTCTAAATTGTCTATATATCAGGATACAGAATCTGCACAGCAGGTAAATTTGTGTTAAAGCCCCTGAACTCTTGGTATCAGATCTCTGAAGTTTTTCTCTGTAATCCTAAATGTTCAGGACTTAATATAAGATCAAAGTTAATGTATGGAGGAAAAACGTCCTTAGTTATTATGTATTAAGACTTTAAAGTTTTGTTTTTGGTGCAAGACACCATGGCGCGGGCCTCTGTAGACGGTGCATGAGCCACTAGCATTCACATGTGCGTTTATGCTCAACGCATTGTTGGCTGCAGTATGCATAGAAATGTCAACATGTGTTACCAGAAGAATGTTACCGAAAATTGTAGCCTGCCTGGCAATAGTAGTTAACATCAACTTAGTGTCAAACATTGTATTAGTATACTGTAATTATTACTGTCGATTACCTCCAAGTCGAAATTATTTTGAACTGATTTGTTTCCCATCGGATCGCCACTCTTTCCATCAGGTGTTTTTTTTCCCACATGTTCCTGTGTGCCCCGCGGGAAAAGGCCTTTTCTTTCCCCAGTGTCGTGAATATTTCCATAGAAGAATTTAAGGCCATTTGGCTGTCCCTGTGGTCAGTGAAGAGTCGTAGAGCTGTCTGTACAGGTGAACCTGCTCGGCTAGTCTTCCCTCAAAGATGTTCCTTTTAAAATGACAGCGCAGTGCACACAGTGGGTGCCTAGTTAGAAAAATTCAGAGGTGCATGACCAAGCGTCTTCAGGCTCAACGCGAAAGGGGTCATTAGATAATTTTCTAGCACTTGAAGCTCACACCTGGGACACTACAATGAGTAGAAACCACGCATAAAGACTCAGTTATGCTTTCCGCACAGACGGTTGCACAGACTTGAGCTGAAGCGGCATCATGACAAGGAAGCGTTTTGATCTTTTATACTCTGTGCAGTTTGTCCTCATGGCAAAACCCATAGTCGCACAAACTGTAGGGGGCAGTGTCTCGAAAATGTACGTCTGCAGCATGGTTATCCATGCCTAGTTAGAAAATGTCTGATGTGTATGAAAAGGTGAAAATCAACTGCATGGACCTCTGAGAAGAGCCGAGTCTGATGGTATGACATCACTTTGCCTGTGTGGACACACACAACTCGTGGATCGTCAAGCATAAATCATGCATAATACTCTAATACTCATGATATGACTCTGCTTTTTACCAGCTTAGATTCACATGCTTCACACCAGAGAGAGAAATTATAAATACAGGAAAGTTTTAACTGTTTTGTGCCTCAATATAAGAGGTGATTGACAGAATAGGCTTTCAGGTCTTTTAAAGCAACACCTAGCATCTATAAGTTAGCACAAGTTCAGATTTACAGTGGTTTGTTTTCTTGCTGCAGCTGTTACTGCGAAAAGTCCTGAGCTCCTGACCTTACGTCATAACTGCAAAGAGATGTACAGTAGTTATTCCAAAACCTTTGAAGCATTACTACAAAACCACCCTGAGACTTCAGTGCCAGAGGATGGAGAAATATGCTAAAAATACTCAGTCTCATTTAGTTTTTACCTCTTTTATAATATGATTTAAATAAAACCAAAATAAGGACCAATCAAGCTTTACTCTTGTTGCCACTCCTCATAATCACAGTAACCTCTCCATATGTTTCATGTCAAGTCTCTGTACACTAACACTGCAATGAAAAATCCTGATGAGCTTTACTATCATGTAACCCACCACCTGCACTAACAGTCAGCACTCACAGGTGCGTTGCATTAGTCTCTGGGTCCTTCCTCTACCTCTCAGAAAAGCCTGATGGTTGGTTTCCTGTTCCTGTCACAGCCTTGTTGGATCCCGTCATTCCTGAAACTTTACCTCTCGCTCTGTTTTCCCTCCTGCTCCCAAACATGTACTTCTCTGGGAAATGATGGTTAATGTTGTTACGATTTGAGATTTGTGTAGAGTCTTTCATATTTTACTTTTTACCTGTTGTGTGAAAGTAAAACATGCTCCTCCTACTCCTCTCCCTTTATTACCTTAGTCAGTTTTCTAATCTGCATGCAAATACATTTAAGAAGACAAGGAAATGCTAAAATAAGATCTCAGAACAAATCAGAGTCTAGTTTATTGAGTACACTAAATTAAGTTCATTAAATTCAGCTTTAACAGTCGTACTGTTGTCTGACTGAAGTTCTGATCGTAACAGCTCGAATAATTACTGTTCACAATGTATCAGCAGACTGATGAGGACACTGATGCCTGTGATGCTCCGTAGCTGGTCTAAATCTGTGTGTGTGTGTGTGTGTGTGTGTGTTTGAGTGTGTGTGTGCGCTCCAACTCTCTTTGTGCAGGAGTCCCCTGGCCCAGATGGAGGAGGAAAGGCGAGAGCATGTGACTAAGATGAAGAAGATGGAGATGGAGATGGAGCAGGTGTTTGAGATGAAAGTCAAGGAAAAAGTGCAGAAGCTCAAAGACTCTGAAGCAGAGGTAACACACACACACACACACACACACACACACACACACACACTGCACGCTTAACACTGCAGTTCATGTCCTTATGAAGTTACTCATCTGTCTGAGCTCCTTCCTTCCTCTCGTGCTGACGTGTGTCAGCGGTTAGAAGTGTGAGTGAGCTCGTACGAGAGTGAGCTGTTGATTTGTGTAAATGGATGTTCTGTTTTTTACTTCCCTCTTTTGTACTCGTGTTTTGTTCATTTGTCTCTGAAATCAAGTCGTTAGATTTGGAAGAGCAGTTCACATGTGTAACATGCTGACTGTAGCACTGTATTAAACATGTGTTGATGGAACCAGTGGCATATTTTTTAAATTATTTCCACATGTGTAGATCATTACAACAAGATAAAAAAGCTCTACAGCTCAAACATCACAGAACGTATTTAAATCAGGGGAACAAGAAAGTCAAATATGATTTAAACACTTCTGTCTGCATTCTGTGGAATTAAAAATGAGTTAACATCTGCTGGCTGACACCTTTGAAACTTTGAATACTGATTAGTCATGACTTCCACTGTTGATCTGAGAGGTTCCTCGTATAACAATGCTACATGTAGTGTGTAAAAACAGTGCTGATTTTACTGATGTGCAGTCCAGTTATAGATACCGCAATAACTCAGTTTGGTGTTTGTGTATAGGTTACAAACACTCTGCATGCTAATCTGACACAGCAAATAAAAAGGTCAAGTTTAAAGGCTGTACCTTTTAAATTTTCAATTCAATTTTATTTGTAACGCCCAATATCACAAATCACAATTTGCCTCAGAAGCTTTACAGCGTACGACATCTCTCTGTCCTTTGGACCCTCAGAGCGGACAAGGAAAAACTCCAAGGTTTTGTTGAACTGACAGGTAGCAGTTTAATTTTCTGTGAAGCATGAAAATATTACAGCACAGCAAGACTCTTGTTTCTCTCTGATGCAACTACAGTATCATCTGTTTAAAGGCTTGTTTATTTGAATTCACTCTCACTAAAGAAGGTGTTGTATTGTAGGCTTGGGCAGTGTCTATTTTTTTATACGTTCATACCTTCTGAAATTTCACAGGGGTAAATTGTAGATGGCGGTATTTGTGTATGGTGTTTTGGCTTGATCGAAATAATCCCGTAATCCTGAGTTAAATAGGAAAACATGCTGTTCTTCCCCGCAATCTTTCCTTGCCATTGCTGGTCGACTGGTTTTAATCCTGTAACGTTATCCTGAGTCGCAGTGTCTGTCAGCTCAGCTGCCTGTTCAACAAGTACAGAGAGACCTCCAGTGGCGTGTGATGTCTGTATTTTTCATGGTACTGAAAATCATAGTGTTTGGATTTCTAAATACCCTGGTATACTGTAATACCTTAACACCACCCAAACCTATTGTATTATAT